TTTTTTGTTCTTTGATGTCAAGGCTTAGTTTTATGGACTGTAAAATGGAGATAATACTAGTACCTCCATAATAGGTTTATTTAAATAAAGTAATCCACAAAAATGTTCAAAATTAATTCTAAAAATGTTAGCAACATTATTATATCAAGTTTGACATTCAAAGAATAATACAGAATTCTTAGCTAATAATTATTAAAAATCAAACCTGCTCCCATCAAGTTGACCCCAACTCACTATGAACCCATATGCAAAACTGTTCCCCAAGGTTTCCTTGCTGTATTCTTGATGAAAGCAAACTGCCAGTGCTTTCATCCATGGCACACACAAAAGCCACTGTGAACCCAGGAAACTTTTCAACAATTATTAGATTGTTATGTTGCTACTCAAAGTACTTAATGAAACCATATGACACTTCCATAAGCTTATTGAGAAAAGTAACCTTTTCTTTTTATTTTGGGTACTTTATTGTACTTTTATCCCAACAAAACTGATTATACACGAATATGTAATCTTCAGATTTCCTATAATCAAGCACATCTGAAAATGATTAAAAACAATGTTTTTCATTGTGGAAGGAAAAGATAACTCAGATGTTTTCCCCTAAGATACTTACTTAATTAAAATTTACAACTCAGAGCTGACTTAGGTTTCGCACTGAGCCCAATTCTTTGCTTTCTTCTATAACAATACTGAATGACACCAATACAGAAAATTCCATAAAAGGTCATGAATGATATTACATAATAATCTCATCCCCCAATTTTGCAATGTATTCAAGTTACAAACAACACTTTTGGGTACATGTCATCATTGGTAATACATACTACATACAATACTGCAGCACATGATATTCTGGTGCTGATATTATTCTCCGATATCCAATGTTATTATTCATAAAGCTATTGATAATAAAAGGCAATAATGGAACAATTTTTAAATGAAATATTCAACTTAATGTCAGAATTGACTCACAAAGGAGTTGTACACACAAAATACTTTGGTTAAGTCGGAAACTATCTATAATTATATATATAGTTACTATGTTCAGAAACACCATGACCAGAGGAGAGATGCATTAACTCTTTCAGAAAAAGAACCCCCTATCTTTTAAAGGCAAATTCTCAGGAAAATGCAATTTGTGCAGTTGATAAAAGTTTAGCTCAGCCTATCTTATAGGTCATAACCTTCTTATCCCAACGTACATGGTTTAGAAAATTTAGAAGTCTTTCTAGAAATTCTGTGGAACACAATCTGTAGAGTATTATGTTGGTAAAAGTCATTGATTTAGTATTGTAAAAGTGTCTATCAAGTTTAGAGGTGTCACAATATGGATGGCTTGCACATGTTGGTTATAGTCAAGAAATTTTAAAAATGTATGACAATTCAAGATAAAAATTTGTCCTCAAAGAGTGGAGGAGGCCTGGTAATGTAACAGAGGAATTACTGAAACACAAATGAAGGCTGTACATGATAGTGGGACAA